TAACGAACGAATGCTATAACGAACAAGGTTCTAGAACCAATTAGATTCGTTATAGCATACCCCACTGTAACATGCTTCCATGTTCCATATTATTCCTGTAATGATGTGTTGTATTTACTATTATATAATCTAGTCACCTTAACCCTGTGCTGTTAAGGTTTTAACTGTTATTATTTGTTCAAACCCATTTTGTATTGTAACCAGTATTCTTTGTTCTCTAACGACCATCTGCATCGTTAAACGACCCACCGGCAGCTCGCTTGGCGGGAGCCGACCTTATATATAGGACCCACCATCTGACGGAGTTTGTTCAGTCCTCTTGTCATACAGTCCACATCCTTTGAGTGACACTCGTCACCTGTTACTTATACTTAATTTATTTGTTTTGTCCCTGTCGCCACCAATGTGGTATATCTATGTGAGTACCTATTTATGTCTCTATTTATGTCCATCAGTATTTGCTTAGTTTCATTTAAGTAATTCAGTGTTGTTTCACGTTAGTTAATTTCAGTGTTAGTTTTTATATGTTTGTGCAGTGTTAACGTAATCCAATGCTTTATTTTTATTCTTTTGATGTTTCGATGTTTAGCATCATTTGTGTCTTAAAAGTTTCGATGGTGAATCAATTTGTTGTGAAAGCCTACGAGGCTCTTTATTGTGTTAATATTTAATTAATTAAATTCTTAAAGGTTTACTTTATTTATTTTTATTCCCTTTTAATTTACTTAACTTTTTTTGTTTGGTTACGCCTAGAACCTGGATATTTAAGTAAATTAAGGCGGTATAATAATATATATATATATATATATATATATATATATATATATATATATATATATATATATATATATATATATATATATATATATATATATATATATATATATATATATATATATATATATATATATATATATATATATATATATATATATATATATATATATATGCTTAGCCAACATATATATATATATATATATATATATATATATATATATATATATATATATATATACAGTTAATGTAACCCGGAGGGTCCCGCGTAAAGTGAGAAACGCGTAAAGTGAATAACATAACATATGGGATTAATTGAAATGGAGTCCGGGCCGATCCCCAAACTCCACTTTTTGACGACACACAACTATGTTGTAGTAAAAATATTATGTTAACTTTATGATGGTATGCACACACAATTAATAATTAAGAGAAATATCAATAATATTAGGTTTTTAACACTTACATTAGTAGAAAAAATGGCTGGGCACACGGGGATGGGCGGTTGGTTCCGAGGCAGAGGGCAGATTATTGGCCCTCACCTGTGTCACTTGTATCAATTGTATCACTATCCACCACAGAGGCTTGCAGGGCCTCTTTGTCAAACTCCCCAAAGTCCATATAAGTCCATATCCTCACCATAATTATCACTATCACTGACTTGGGCCGGCTGTGGTGGGTGGCGGGTGAAGAACTGGTAATGTTTTGATGACTGGGCGACCTTGTGCGCACCATGTTCGCGCCGCTTACACAACATGGCGGATGGCGGGAGGTTTGGATCCAAAAATGGCGCGGCTCACCAGCCGCTCTCCGCGTAAAGGGGTACACGCACCACGGAATGTGAGCATCCTGGGTTCTGGCAGGGCACCGCGTACACGTGGAAACGCGGAATGTGGGACCGCGTAAAGTGAGGGTTAACTGTGTGTATATATATATATATATATATGTATGTATGTATGTATGTATGTATGTATGTATGTATGTATGTATGTATGTATGTATGTATGTATGTATGTATGTATGTATGTATGTATGTATGTATGTATGTATGTATGTATGTATGTATGTATGTATGTGTACATGTATGTATGTATGTATATATGTGTATGTATGTATGTATGTATGTATGTATGTGTATATGTGTATGTATGTATGTATGTGTGTGTATGTATGTATGTATGTAATAACTGTACTTATGTATGTATGTGTGTATGTATGTATGTATGTATGTATGTGTATGTATGTATGTATGTGTGTATGTATGTATGTATATATATATATATATATATATATAAAGTCAAATCCGGACTGATCCGGACCACCTGAGAATCCGGACTTTTCGAAAACTCAAACTTAACTTTTTTTTTTTTTTAGCTGGCTTTTGTGTGCATGCGTGAGCGCCACAGCTGCACAGCGACCACACGGTCGCTACTTTAAAACGAGCAATCAAACTGTGACAACGTATGTAATTTTGAATCCTACTCATTCCATTTACAGAGTACTGTACAAGCCCATAATAATGGCTCCTAAAGTAGATAAACTTCGTTGTGTGAAGAGAAAGAAGAACACGTTGAAATTGAGTGACAAACTTGAAATAATTAAGAAACTAGAACGTGGTGTGAGCAATATTGTTCTAATGGAAACATATAACATTGGAAAGTCTACAATTTATGATATAAAAAAGGCGAAGAATAAAATTTTAGAATTCACAGCTTTATTTTTAAAACTGCTCTTTTAGATAAATGAAGCATGCTATATTTGCTAATGAATAAACTATCAAAATGTACCTGTTCATCTCTTCTTTATTTCTCCTGAAATTTGAATTTTAAAAGTACTGCCTGAGAATCCGGACCGACCCAATCCCCAAGCAGTCTGGATTTTTGGACTTTATATATATATATATATATACAGTAATACCCCGCTTAACACGGTTTTGCTTAGCGCGATTTCACGTATACGCGGTGCCTCGCCAGAGCCGAACTTTCACTTAACGCGGGTTTTTTCCACGTATACGCGCAGAGTGTCCAGCTGAGACGCTATTTTTAGATTCGCCCCACCGCCACCCTGCCTGACTGCCTGCCTGCCTGTTTTAGCTCATAAAATTCATACAAATTACCCGGCCAGAATATAATTTACATTGCTGGAATTCTTACAATATGATGATCATTTTGAATATAAACATCATAGTTTTGCATTAGACATGCAAATTTTAGATATAATGTTTACTCTGGTAAATATATTTATTTTTATTATAAAATGTATGACTTTATTCAAAATATTCCTGATCTTCCTGAGAATCAGCAATTTCAATTATAATCAACCCTAACACAGTTTGAGGTATTATTTATTACTAAAAAGGTAAATATTCTGGTTTTCCCACACATCTGGTAGGGAGGGTTGGTGGGGGATTGGGGGGAGGGAGGGACCGACCGACCATCTGTTACGTGTGAAGAAATTTTTTTTTTTTATTAACTGAAGATATTTGTTTTAGCTCATAAAATTCATACAAATTACCCGGTCAGAATATAATTTACATTGCTGGAATTCTTACAATTTGATGATCATTTTTAATATAAACATCATAGATTTTGCATTACACATACAAATTTTAGATATAATGTTTACTCTGAGTAAATATGTTATCTTTTGTGCAAAATATATGACATTTATATTCAAAATATTCCTGGTCTTACAAGGAATCCAGCAATGTCAATTGTATTATCCTAACTTTAGTTTGAGGTATTATTTATTAAAATTTAGTGGTTTCCCCCCAAAATTTCTCAGGGGGAAGAGCCAGTGAGTGTAGTGTGAGAAGAGGGTGAGGGAGTTGAGTTCATTATTTGAATGGACATTAACTTGGCGACTGTATTTCTCAATTTCTCTTAAGTATTAATTGTGTGCATGTACCATCATAAAATTAAGATGTTATTTTTACTAGAACATAGGTATTGTGTCGGAAAAAGTGGAGTTTGGGGGTCGGGCCAGTTTCTATTGGAATTAATCCCATATGTTCTGTTGTTCACTTAGCGCGGTTTTCACTTAACACGGTACCCTGTGGGTTTTATTGACCGCATTAAGCGGAAATTACTACTATTAATAATATATATATATATATATATATATATATATATATATATATATATACATATATATATATATATATATATATATATATATATATATATATATATATATATATATACCATATATCATAATCAGGCTCACACGGGAAAATGCAAAACAGCGAATTACCTTAACACAAATCTTTATTTAAAGACATCTTCAGGAAGCTGGTTGCCTCTGAGATGTCTTGAACAAAAACAGCGATGATGATTTATCAAGATTCTCCACGTTTTTCATTGTGGATTTACTTGAAATATATATATATATATATATATATATATATATATATATATATAACTGGGTTAGGGACCCAAATCCAGGTAAAAAAAATTTTTTTTTAATAAAAAATCTACAATGAAATACAGTACAGTAAAAGTAATGAATAATGATGAATGGATACAGTACAGTGAAAGTAATAAATAATAAGGAATGGATACAGTGTGACTGAGCACTTAACCTTTAATGTAGTCAGCTGAATGCACATGGGGCCCCCATAATTTTCTAATTATACATGGAGACTACATTAACTGGAAACGTTTCGGTATAGAAAATGCGTGTCATTTTGAGGCGGTTGTAAGTCCCGACGGTCGTAAGTCCACGTAGTCGTAAGTCGGGGTCTAGGTGTATATATATATTATAAATATATATATTTATAATATTATATTATATATATATATATATATATATATATATATATATATATATATATATATATATATATATATATATATATATATATATATATATATATATATATATATATATATATATATATATATATATATATATATATATATTACAGTAATCCCGTGTTTTTTGCGGAATTACGTTCCTGAAACCCCTGCGAAAAGCCAAAACCGCGAATCCTCTTTTAGGAATCACTGTACCTGTGGCCACCAAACAGTCAGGTAGGTTATGCACTAAAGCACGCCATGCTCTCCACTCACGGCCCAGTGGTCACGCTGATCACTGATGCACTGTACCGGCATTAACTAACATCATTATTTGAACTAATCATATTGTAGTATAATAATGGAAAAACGTAAATGCAGATATATACAAAAAAAATTTATTTACACGTACCTGGTAAATAAAAAATTCTATATTTTGCTGAGGTCGGCAACACCTGCATTGCCAGCCTCTCCCTGCTGTCCCGGCGTCTGCCTGCCCTCACGCAGTCACGCCAGCCAGCAGTCCTCTTCCACCCACATTCCTCCACTTGAAGACTTGTATTCTGACAAAAGACACAAATGAATTGTCAGTCTTCACCACATCTCGAGCCATAGTTCATACCACCTCTGAGCTTGTCCAATAAAACTGTTTTTTCCTTTAAGGTCATCACTATTTTTGATCTCTTGGTCACTTTAGAGCAGGGGTGGCCAACCAGTCGATCGCGATCGACTGGTAGATCACTAGCCTGTTTTAAGTCGATCACTCTGCCTGTTAATAATCCGTCCTTCAGGAGCTGTCATACAAATATCATATTCAAATTTTACTCATAATAATTGGATTATTATTTTTGCTTATATTTTTTCTGGGAATAAACTATATTTATAATGATGGACACGTATGAACGATACATAAAGACAGACTACCCCTGTGTTATCATGCTTTAAGGAAACGTTCGCATTCATACGGGAGGGTGATAGCTGGTTACTGTTAAAACTGATCTGCAAATTGTCAACGTGTCTTAATTGGCAACTCTGTTCCCCGCAAGCCTCCACATTTGTCACCAGACGTAGCAGTGTAGAGGTGTGTGTCACTGTGTGAGGATCAGTGTCTTGTAATGAAAGAGTCTTCTGTGATTGTGAGAATTACTGTCTTTTATAGCTTAGCAACAGTTATTCCTGCAACCCTAGAATAGACAGAAGTGACTACACTTGCTTGTGAAAAAAATAAAAAGCAGAAAAACGTTACGACATTATGTCTTTCCGGTTAGTTAAGTAATTCTCATATTCACGTAGGAAAAGTTATGGAAGAAAGTATTCCTCGCATTCATGTAAAACTTTTTCTTTTCCAAATACCTGTATAGGTTACCGGTATTAGTCATCAACTGAACCAAAATGAGTGGTGCTGGAGCTGGACCAAGTGCTAAAAAAAGTAAAACTTATCATTTTCACAGTGAATGGGAGGAAGATCATTTTTTTTACCATGAACAATTTGAAGTGTGTGTGTCTAATATGTCATGTATCCCCAGCTCTAGCGAAGAAAGGAAATGTAGAAAGGCATTTCAAAAGTTTTCACAAGAAGTATGACAGTGATTTCCCTCCCAAAAGTGAGCTACGAAAAAGGAAAATTCGAGAACTGAAATCACAGCTTTCGGCACAACTAACCCTTTTTACAGGAGCAAGATCAAAATCAAAGGTAGCAACCATTGCATCATTCAGGGTGTGTCGAGTACTCACAAAGCACAAAAAAACGTTTCAGGATGGAGAAATATTCAAAGAGGCTTTTTTAGAAGCAGCAGAATCGTTGTTTGAAAATTTAAAAAACAAGTCTGAAATAAAGAAGTTCAGTTATCAAGAAACACTGTTATGAGGCGCTGTGAATTTATGGCTGAGGATTTGAGTGAACAATTGAATAAAGACATACGTGAGTGTGTATTCTTTTCATTGCAGTTTGATAAATCTACTGATGTGGTCGATACATCACAACTGTGCATTTTCATTAGAATGGTGTTTAAAGATATGAGCACAAAAGAGGAATTACTGAAGATTCTACCATTAAAAAGAAAACTCGAGGTGAAGACATTTTTCAGACTTTCAGTGGTTTTGTCAATAAGACATAGTTGCCAGTAAGTAAGCTCGTATCAATGACAACTGATGGGGCACCTGCAATGGCTGGCCGAATCAGTGGGTTCATTGCCCTTTGCAGGGGTGCCGATAGATTTCCTGACTTCTTTAATCATCATTGCGTCATTCATCAACAGGCACTTTGTGGTAAAATGTTGAATATGACAGTAGTCATGGACATTTCTCTCAAGATTGTGAATTCAATTCCGGCCAGAAGTCTTCAGAGACGACTGTTCCGAAGTCAGCTAGAAGAAAGTGAAGCAGAGCACTCTGACCTGTTGTTGCATACCGATGTCAGGTGGTTAAGCAGAGGTAAATTTCTCCAGAGATTTAGAAATCTGCTGCCTGAAATAAAAGTGTTTTTGGCTTCAAAAGATCGACCTTCTCATTCTTCTGATCACACCCAGTTTTTGGACAACGAAGAGTGGTTGTTGGATTTAGCATTTTTAGTTGACATGACTGGTATGCTGAATGAACTGAACTTAGATCTGCAAGGAAAAGATAAAACTACAGTTGACATGATTAGTGCTGTCCAAGAATATACCGACTGTGAACTGACTGTCATCAAAGGAATTTAAGATGTCATTAGTAAAGGATAGCAGAGCACTCTCATTCGACCTTCTAGCTCTAAATCCAAACTGGTAGTCTGTAAAGATGTTATGGGCATTGCAGAAGGAATTTAGTCTATTACATGCTAGATTTTCCAGTATCTTACTCAAGGCTGGGAGGACTGATATGGGGCGGTAATTCTTGAATAGACCTTTGTCCCCAGATTTTTTATATGCCGGGTGGACTTTAGCAATTTTCGGTTTATCAGGAGACACTACTAGTGAAGGAGGAGTTACAAATGTGGAGGAGAACAGGTAGTAATAAGTAGGCCACTTTCTTAATGATGCTCATCGGTATATTGTCTTCGCCTGCTGCTGCATCTTTGGACATTTTTATGATGGCCAGTAATTCATCTGCTGTGACAGGGGATAAGAATAGTTCATTTTACTGTCTGTTTTGCAGGTAGGCTCTAAATTCCTCATGGTGATCAGGGATACTCTCTGCAAGATTTTTGCCAACATTAATAAAATATTCATTGAAATGGTTGGCAATGAGGGGGGGTTCCGTTATAACTGAATCGTTTATCATAAAAGCTGAGTCGGGGTCGAAGGCTGAGTGTTCCTGTTCTGAATAAAATTTATGACATTCCAGGTTTTCTTTCTGTTGCCTGATGCTGACTGGAGATTATTTGTATAATAGTTATGTCTGGCATTTCTAACTGCTTGTGTTACTCTATTTCTGATACTTCGATAAGCATCACCGAAAGTTATGGGTCTTTTTGCAAATTTCCTTTGAAGTTTGTGTTTTTCCTTTATCATCTTAATTTTGCTTGTGATATAGGGTTTGGAAATGGATACAGTTTCACTGACTTAGTCTTGAGCGGGAAGCATTTATCAAAGCAAGCATTGAAGATGCAAGAGAAGTTGCTGCTGTTCACATTAGGGTTGTTGGAGGCATAGACAAGATCCCAGTTGGCATTCATTAGGTTGTTTTCAAAAAGGAGCATGTTGTCGGCGCAGTAGTCTCTGTATTGAATTGAGACTCTACTAGACCTTACAGGCTGTTTTATACATGGCAAAAACTGGGAAGTGATCTGAGATATTGTTATAAATACAGTAATTCCACTTGCTTGGTTGTTAGGAGTGTTGCTAGTCCAGATATGATCTATCACAGTGGCAGAGGTGGCAGTTACTCTAGTGGGTTTGGTTATAGTGTTGAAGAAGAGTTTAGAATGGCAGGTAGCAAGAAGGTCTAATACTGAGGTGTCGGTTTCTGATTTTAATAGATCAAGGTTGAAATCTCCTGTGATGTAGCAGTCTTTCCTCTCTGAACTTATGATAGAGATAAGCTCTGAAAATTTATCAATAAAATTCCTTACATTAGTGTGGGGTCTTCTGTAGATTATCCCAACTAGGATATTTCGTGTGTCGTTACGTAATTCAATGAAAACACTCTCCATGTACTCCTCCTGAACCTTTAAATCATCTCTTACAGAAGTGTTATACTTGATATCAGCATATAGGGCGACACCACCACTGTGTCGTGACGTGTTGACGCAGTGTCTATTATAATTAGGAATGTTATACAAATGGTCAATCTCGTTAGTGAGTTTGGTCTCACAGAATCCAAGTACATCAAATTTGTGAGCAATAGAAGATAAACACTGATCTAAAAAGGTATCTAGATGAAGGGGAATACAGTACTGCTGATGTTATGGCTAATCAAGGAGAAGGAATGAGGTAGTAGGAGACTAGAACTAAACTCGGGGGAGTCAGGAAAGTAATAGTTACAGCAGGGGTTGGTGTAACCCAGTGAGTTTTGTAGAAAGACGTCAGGATTGATATGAGGGAGTATTGTGTCGACACCATGGGTAAATGGGGTGTAACACATACAATCTAGCACATCTACGGGAATGACACTAGTATCATTATTGTGGGGACATTGATACTGATTAAGGAACAGTAAAAACTCAGGGTCACTGAGGTGTGAAAAAGAAAGATCTAAGAACATTATAATAGTGGGGGGTTAACGTACTCACAAGTGCTACAACCAACAGAATTAGGATGACTGTTGAGGATGATTCCCAGATGGAGTGGGAGGTGCTCCTGTCACTCGGGTTTGAGGGTTGCTGGTTTCCACCACAGAGGGTAGACGTGTAGTACTTGAGTTGGCCGACGGGGGGGGGGGAACTCCACAAGTGATAGCGACAGTGGCTGGTTCCCCCTCGGTAGGGAGGGGGGTTCTCGAGGGGCTTGGGGGGGTTGGTACAGCGGGTAGGTGAGTGGGTGGGTGTCTACTTGCCCAATCCCTCACAACAAGAGTTTTATGACTGAACGTCACGTGTTTCCCTTGTTTCCTGGCTTCTTTAAACAGGTCCATTTTCTGTAGACGGGCTTTAGTCGTATCTGGGCAGAGATCCTCGTTGACGAAGATAGGGGTGCCTTTCAGTTTACTGCTTTGATAAAACACTTTGTCCCGGTCAGAGGGGGTCGAGAATTTTGTTATGATGTCGCAGGGACAGGAGTTGGGTTTCCCGACGTGTTGAACAGTCAAACTTTACTTCAGGAAGTTGAAAATGTTCATTCAGCAAGCGTGAATGGTCGTATGTCGGAAATGCAAAAAGTAATACATATAAAATCTAAAACGAAATACAGTGATCCCTCGGTTAACGAAATTACCTTACATAAGAATCTTCATTTCGGTTAACGAATTCCTCACAAAATCATGTCAACATGTTTTCGCTTGCTCACCAGCTAGAATATTAGTCTGCCAATACAGTAATCGGTTCTTGGGCTTAAATTCGTTCCCATTTGAGTAAATATCAAGAAGGTTGTACTATTCAATCATTTTCCAAGTTTTATATTAAAATTTTTAGTCATTTTAAAACTTATTT